GAACAACTTCCATTTTCTTTTCTGCTTATGCATGTCCTTCTCATGTTTTCTGTTGCAGAGGTATTTTGCCAGCAGTGGATCTTATCAGCAGTAAGGCTTTGGTTGGGGTGAGTATAGGTTTCCATAGAAAATTTGTTGAACTTTTTTCTATGTTCTTGAAATAACTTGAGCAGACAGACATGAACATTGTGTCTTAATATTGCTGATTAAATAAGATTGTATGTTATGGAGTTTATTTTAAATCCAGCATGGGGCTTACTTTGGGCATAACTGGATAGAGACATGTAAGTCTAAACTATTAAGTACCATGGGACTATTTGATTATTAAAAGTAGAAGTACCTGCTAACATAATCTCAATGTAATTGTAAGTGCTGCATAAAAAAAAAGCTCAATTGTTTGGTTTCCTGCATTTGTAAGTGCAACTTACCTTCATTTTGTTTGGTTGCCTTTATTTGCGATTGTTATTTCACTGAAGGATGAAGGAACAGATGGTGGACAAGGTGGGTTGTTGGAGGGAGAACAATAGTTGCAGGAATGCTGAGAGAGTAGGCAGCGATTTTATGTAATATAGGAGGTGCATTGGAGGAAGTTCACTTATCCTTGGGTTGGCTCAAACCTGGTTTAGCTTGTGGTAGGGTCTAGATGCAGAATTTTCTACCCAGGCCTGACTTTAGTTTTAATTGGGCCCAACTTTTTTGCCCATCTTGGGCCTGAGCAAGTCAAAACTTTGCCCAAGAGCTCTCCTATTTGGAGGCCAGGTTGTCGGGTCGGGTAAGTGTCCCAGCCCATACATAGGTCTATTGGAGTAAGGATTGAAATAGGATCTTAAATTGTAACTAATTTTAGAATTCATTGATAGGTAGCTTGGTTGCATGTGGAAATGTAGGTTAGAGGGTTTAAGTTGCAATTCTAAAGCAATATTATATGTTTGCACTTGATAAAATATCTGCCAATGGTTTAAAAGTTACCAAAGTATCACATAGCATATAAACAGTATGTGGAATTAAGTATTCAAGATAGTTTTTAGTAACTAAATGAAGGATACACTCAAATTGAAATTAGTAGTTAATCTCAGTGATATTCGTACCAATTCTTTATTGGTCCACGACAATGGTACCATAGCCTACCAAGTTTCAATAATGGTTGGACTAGTCAGGTCCAGTTTCAGACTAGTCCATCTCTTCAATGTAGCTTTTTATATATATCCTGAAAAATGGATCAAAATATGCATATAAGACCTATTGAGAGACATAAATCGTACTACATAAGTAAAAAAACTTATAGAAACATTAAAATAAATACATGACACATGAGTTATGCATGATACATGCTGTACCTTATTAGTACAGGCCCTACTAATTACCAAAACGAATGTTGTGTTTCTGGGAGGTTCTTGTGGTTGAATATCAAGGCCATAATTTGTGCTCCCATGGCATTCAGTATTGATACACTGTATGCTAATTGTAGATTAATCAAGCAATAGTTAAGTCACTTTGTTCATTAAGTGTATGCTGGTAGTTGTAGACACAACTAGTACAACTTCAACTGATTTGTATAGCTAGACTTTCTACGAGTGGTGAATGTATAATATCATCATCATCTCCTACTATCAAGATCGTAGTAAATTAACGCTAATAAGAAGTATATCTGAACCATATGCTTGCATTTTCATGCTGATGTGGACCACAAATCTGATTGTTTTCACATCCAATAATATGACATATTAGTTGCATAGCGTCATATGACCACATAGGCATACGTGAAACACGTGACTGCACAAACTGCAGCTTGGAACACTTAGGCCTACACTTGGCAACTCAATAGTTATCTATTGTAATTTAACAGCTAAATATCTGCTTTAATTGGATGTTCTCCTTTTGGTATGATGCTGCAAGCAAACACTATATTTTCAAGAAATCACTAGTTTTGATTTAGTTGCAGCATCTGTATTTCTTTAGTAAATTAGAGCAGAGAAGTTGAAATGTTTTCACTGTTATTGCAAGTTTTCTTGATCTAATTGTAGTGTTATGTGACTCTAGATTCTTGTTTGCTTGTAGATCTTCTATTTTGTTGGATTCGGTTTGTTCTGCCTCGAGTCACTGCTCAGCATTTGGGTCATACAGGTCATTTTTCTGCACCTAATATGGAAGTTGCCAGCAGTTAACAATTTCATTCTGTTTTTCCTTTTAAAGTTAACCATGTTCCTTGATTGAATAAATTATGTTTATGTAAGGTTTAAGGGAATTGCAGTTGATTAGTAAAGTTGCTTATCAATTATATGCTAAATGAAATATAGTTGGAGGCTTTTATATCTTATTTATTAAGAAATCAGTAGTACTTAATGAGCTTCAGTGAAAATTGAATCTGGAAATGGATTTATTTGGTTAAACTCAATGTTCAACCTGAGGGTTCTGGTAATTCTGTGCAGCAAGTATATATGTACTTCCGTGGGAGTGGAAAGGCTGCAGAAATGAAGCGTGAGGCAGCACGTGGTGCTATGAGGGCAGCAATATGATTATTTTATCCAGAGCCACTGTTTGAGGGGAAGACGAGAAATGCAGTTGATCAGGCCTATAGTTTGATTAATGTCTTTGTTTGCTTGATTTCTTCTTGGTCATTCATGATGTCTTTGGCATATTGTCAGGTGTGTTACCTTGAATGGGAAAAGGTACATCGTTCCTTTTCCAAATTTATCTGGGAAGCATGTAGCGTGTGTTAGCTTCTTTGAAGCCTATTCTCGCTTGTATCTACCATCTCATTTCCTCCTGTGAATTTGTGCTATAGAAGAATGCAAATTAGTGACAATTACTGGTACGGTGGTTAATGGGCATATCTTGTAGATATATTCTTGATCCTTTTCTAATTGATGCCTGTTATCACAATAAATTACTTCGCATCCCATGACAAGTGCAGTTAAAAGATCCTTGATCAACATGGGAAGCCACTTAAGTTAAAAGGTTATGTTACCTGAGCTTTTTTGTTGTTTTCACATTTTTATTAGTCAACTACACAATGTTCCAATGTGATAAACTATATATATAAAAAAGGGTCTTTTTGCTTCAGCAAGCATGGTGGCTTATTTGCGTGGATATTGCTTAGGAGATATATCTTCGGCAAGCTCTCTTTATTTGGCCTTACTCATGATTGTCTGTGAGTTTACAAATGATCATCAGGATGTGTTCATTTTGGTTCTTGTTTCCTATTTAATGTTGCACATTTTCTTCAGCGTTAATGCTCGCTCTAGATTTTTCCTTCGTCGACGTGCAGCTCCTAAAGAGTACATTTTAGTGCCTTATCCAGTTCAAGCTGTGGCGATTTTTCCCTTTTGTTTGTCTGTTCTTGCCTATTACTTCCATTTCTTGAGCAATTTATAAAAAAAAAAAGAAAAAACCCTCAGGTTTTTATCATATGATGCACTCGATTTTTTATCCAAGAATATTTTTTTTAATCAAAATGTTTTTAATAAATAATGATTAATTCTTGATTAGGCTTGATTCAATTATTTTTAAATGAATCGATTTTCTTGAGATGAACCGGATCAGATGGATTAATTAAATCTTTATTATTTAATTAATTTAATTAAATCCTAGATTACTTATTAATATTTTTAAATTATCCTTACCTTCTCCACCTTAACTCCATCTCTTTCTCAGTTTTCTCCTACTCCTCCCTCTCTCTTTAACCTCCCTCACCATTATTTTATTTCCTTCTACTCCATTGGTCCTTCCCTTCCTTCCTCATCCATCACCTTCACCTCATAGTTTTTCTAGAAAACCCATTACACTCAATGTACACTTGAGCTATACTTGAACTGCATTAAAAATATATATATATTTTTAAAATATTATTATTTATATAAAAAATCTTAAATTTATCATAAAACTAAAAAAATTGAGTTATCATTAAAAAATATATTAGTTCTTATATAAAATTTTCCTAAATTCATCCAAAAATAAAAACTTAAGTTATCCTAAAAAATATATTAATTTTTATGTAAAATTATATAAAAATACTATTTCACTTGAATTATATTCGTGTTATATTCGAATAACACTTATTCACAAAATATGTTAAAAGATATATTAATTTTTAGATAAATTCATCATAAAACTAATCACAAAATCTTATCTTTCCTATTTTATATTTTCGATATCGACTAACTTATTTTTCAAATTAATATTTTTATTTTTAGATATTTTTAGGATAATTAATTATTAAAACTTTGAGAATTATACTAGAATACGATTTTTACAAAAATTATACTATGTTTTATTTTATGATAATTTTAGAATAAATTTATATAAAAATAATATATTTTTAATAAATTCTATAAATAAGTGTAACTGGATTGTAACATATTTTTAAACCCGAATCAAACCCGAATCGACCTATTCCAAACTGAACCAACCCACGAATCACAAATCGATCAAACTTGAAACAGCCCAATTAAGGATATTATCAAATTTTGTTTTAAAAAAATATCTCACCAATTGTGACGATTCCATCCGATCAAAACCCAGGAGCATTTTTTCAATAAACTACCCTGTCATCTTCAACATCATGTCACTGCAACCCCAAACCTTGTGTGTCCCAAACAGAGCACATGCTAAACTCCACATCAGTGACCTGATCCATAAAGCTTCTTTGCAATTTTTTTTCCTTTATGGTCAACAAATTTTATGCCATTGTATAAACTCAAGCACCATCTATGATATGTTATGATATGTTAGGTTGTAAAACGAAGCTTCAAGGTTTAAACCAACTGAAGTATGATGATCAGGATTTAGCCAAGCTTGTGTTGGTGATCAGGATGGGAGGCCTCAACCCTCCCTCCCTCAACCTATAGCAGCATTTCTGAGAAGAGACAACTGATGCAGCTGCTGTAAAGCTCCAAATGAAGACAAATATTGGATTATTCTGTAGAGTCATCAGACGCAAACAGCTTGCTATCTCAGTCTAATATTCTCATGCAATTCAAAATTAAGCAAAGAAAGGATACATATGATCATGGATTAAGAGAAAAATTAAATCGTACGAAAATAATAGATATGCCTTTAAAAGTTTTCCATGTCACTTATTCACAGCTTCCACCATCTTCATCTATAAGCAATGTTTCAAATGGAAGAAGTGGGGTGGAGGAAAAGGAAACATAGAAAGCCCCATTGATGGGATTGTCAAAATTTTGAACCTTATGATTGAGGGTTTCAGGTCTGCATCAAAATACCTGCATTGATAACACAATTATGCAATCACCCGTGGAGGATAAATAGTTCTCCATCGAACAAGCTTAGATTTTAGAATTGCGTGTGTAATCGATGCAGGTCTGACAGCTGCAATCTGAGAAACGGCAGTTCTCACATCCGAAACATACGCATGTGGTGCATCCTCTACAGGATGGAGAACGTGAACATCCCCTGAGGACCTTACGGCTTGCTCGCTCCTCTTCGTCATCGCAGGTGGCTCTGATGCATGGGATAAAAAGGTAACAAGCTATCAAAAAAATTCTCAATAGATTAAAAATTGCAAATAGATAACATCATTACATCAGACATTCATAATATATGGGGAATCTAACTTAAATACACAAGATAAGAATAAAATATGTACCAGGTTGATTCGAGCTAATTCTGACTAAATTCTAACTTGGAAGTCCGAGAAATCGGCCAAAATCAGGTTGGCCTTGAATATTCAATTTAGATCTCTTGAATCATATCAGAATTGGGTGATATGGCAAACTATTTATTCCAAATTGTAGTGGCTTAACACAATTTTGTTTGATACTAAGCGAATACAAAGTTATAAACCAAAAGTTGTTTACTGCATGATGACCCACCAATTTTCATGCTACAGAAGTTTTCAAGAAAAATAGAAATGTAACTGAGGCGACTCAATCTTCCCATCGTATATGACCCTCTAGGAAAAGGACAACTAAATAACAGTTAATGAAAAGGAATACACCATTGTAAAACCCTATGGAAAGACCTGAATTTATCAGTGATAAAAGGAGTGAAAAAGAGAATGTAAATTTTAACAGTACAAGCAACATTAAACTAGAGAAAAAGGAAATGATAAGGTTGACCTCAAATTGCAAAGTACAAAGTCAATGCTTACAGTTAATACTCCCATAGGTCCTCTAGAATTGCTATGAACAAAGGCAGTCATCTCAAGTACGAGGAAATGGTAGTTAAAATGGTATGTCTAAGCCTTCTCTACTTGATTAATTAATAGTGCCATAAAATTGCAATGCTTTATGCATCAAGAGCATCGTCATGAAACATTTTATGACCACATGAACTTGCAAGAAACAAAGATGCATTAAAGTTCCACTGCAACAATATTTACTTTAGTAATTTATAACCTTAAGTTAGTTACTGAAAGCCTCCCAATTAATTTTCCTGTGATCCATGTTTTTAGCACATGAAACAGCAAGGGAATATTGAGTAAACGAAGAGTAGCATGCACAAGATCAACTATTTGGTTGTGACATCTATTCTCTGTCAAATGTATCTCTTTCAATTAGTTGACCTCCAAATGTCTTATCAAGCAAATAGTAATAAAAATGATATTATCAATATAACACCCCAATTAGTCTCACATCGGAAGTGAACAAGATTAAGATTGATTTTTAAGGGTCTGATGGGAGTTATTAATTTCAGGTTGAGCATTTTAATTAGTGGTTTGAGCCAAACGAAGTTGACAAGACAATTATCTCATCAGACCGGGTCATGACAATTGGTATCAGGGCTGACTTAGTACTGGAGCATGGTGAGGTTGCTCAAGTAGGATAAGACTATCCGCGGATGGAGTCAGAGGACTCATCACGATATGGAGCCACCACTAGACTATACCTTACATGCATAATACTAGGGTTTGATTTGAGCTATGCTGAGTTTTAATGAGAACGTCAAAGCTCTTAAGTAGGAGAGTTTGTAGCATCTCAATTAGTTCCACATCGAAAATGGGTACAACTAAAATTGATTTATAAGGGTCTGATGTGAGTATTATTATTAACTTCAACTTATAAGTTGACATGATTATCCTATAAGTGGAGTCATGACAATCAATATGTAATTAAATTGAAGATATACTATCCCTATGAAGTAAAAAAGACTAAGAATTTTTACTAAACATGTTATGATATGTTGAAAATGAACAAAACAGACACCTAGCTATTAATATTTTACTTTTGGGAAGTATGGACAACATTACTTAATGAGAAACATGGGTCTTGAAAGGAAATCATAATTCAACACAAATATTACATTGGATGATGCAGCAAAGTTGAAAAATAGCACTCAATATGATAGGCTATGATAATCTAATCCTTTTCTCACCTACATGCTACACAATTTAAGGGAATCATTGCCTTCTACACACTTAGAACCTAATACTAAGTTCTGATATGAGTTGTATAGCAATCATCAAGTGTAAAATGCATAGCAAGACAGTTTATCTAAGTCTACCATATAAATAACATGTTCCATGAACCAATATCAGCAAGTCATTTTACCTATCTACTAAATTGTTGACAATCAATATCAAGAAAGCATTGCACATCAACCAATTAAAGCTCAACAGATAAGTATGACCACATGGATAAACAAGGGAATTTACTTGTCATGGCATGCCTATATGCTAGCGAGCACCTCGCACAACAATTGCCGTTGGGTATTTGACATTAGCATCTTAATCAAGTTTTAAAAAGTAATTAGGTGCAGAAAACAAATCAAAAGAAGGGACTTACTAGCTTGTTGATGGTCATGAGACCAATAGTTATGCATGAAAATGCCTTAATCATCATTCGAACAGTTTTCCTAGATGCTTTTTTGTTTCAAAGACAACAAAAGAAAATCCATTCTACCACAATAATTTAAGTACCAATTATTAAATAAATTTTCAGAAGAGCAAGAGAATTTGTTCACTTGATCCAAAGAATTGGTGAAGAAAAATGTTAAAAGAAAATAATGGAGATCAGAGTAATGTCAATTCTATATTTCCAGTAAGAGATTAAGAAGCATATATAAAACTATTTCATGAGATAGAAAGACAATGAAATAAGTCACAAAGAGTGAGACAGAAAGTAGTTCAGCTTGGTTTATCAAGAACATTGAGCTTTTAAGTGAGATGAAATTGCATGTGCAAAAGCAGTCATATCAACTCTCATGTATCCCACAGAATGTCTATCAATCATGCAAAACTTGCAAAAGGAGCAGGATAAGTACTAAGAAATTTGCTTTTAAAAAGGCTACTAACACAATCTGTTTAACATTCAAAAGCTCACTAGGCATTGGTTAACAGAATCTTTCTCTTCCATAGCAGACCAAGAAATCAAAATTGTCAGAAAGGCAGTAGCCATATGCAAAAAAGGAGAATTTCACCTGTCAAACGTCAAGTTAGAACATTCCCAATTTGGATTCCTCACAGCATCATGATAATTGCGATATTCATCTTTAGTACGTAAGCGAAATCTACGCTCTTTGTTACATCTTTTACAGCAGACAAATTCATCACGGTGAAATGGCCGTCCATTGGGACCTTTATGAGAGCCATTAGCAGCCTTTGATGCCTGGTTGTAGTACTTAAGCAGCACAGTCTTTGAAAGTGGAACCTTGTCTCCTTTGATAATGATCCACACATTGTTTTTCCATTTTCTTGCAGTCTCCCGCCCAGAATGCTTCTCAAACGCAGCTGGTGTCAACTTATCTGATTATAATTATGAACAGTCAGCAAACAGGTACATGGTATACAAAGTTGATATTGGAGATTAAATACATTATATATCAGAAGTAGAAGCCTCAGATGCATAAACTTTCGGTTCCTGACATTTTCCATGATGCTTACAAGTTACAACTAATATTTATAGAAGCTATATCTTACTTAACATCAGCATGGTAGATTCTATTATATATAATTATACAATTATCCAATAAGGAAATCCTTAGGCAATCATAGGCATTCTCCATGTAAGAAACAAGAGGAGAAATCCAAAGACAGATTCACAGATCATGGCTGAGGAGAAGTCCATTGCATCATTCAGATAATTAGAAGCAGAACTGTTACGATACATCTGTACAAGATATGCATGTTTCAGCAATAATTACTAATTTCAAGAATTCCATCTTTTGAGGAAGTATGGACTCTCTCATTCTATTCTTGTTCTCTAAGAGCCTTAACACATTGATAGCCTCCCATCTAGCGTGGCTTTTATGCCTAACCAGATTGTTTCACCTGAACTAACAGTACTTAATCAGGAAATTTTGAAAAAGATAAAAGGGAAATAAAATAAATTTCTCCTGTTTAGCTAGCAAAGTAGTGTACAGCTATTTCATGTACTGGTGAAATGTATCCATCTAAATCCATTTCTGTGTCTGGAGGAACCTGACATGGTTACACAAGATCTAGTCATCAATCATCACATATTCATTTACAAAATCTTCTGGACATAGATATGGATATGAGTTGAGTTCCAAACAATCTGAATATCTGACTAACTAAATATACTAAAAGTTCCAAATTTACATATAATAAATTAAGAAAATATGCTACTTGATTTATATATATATATATATATATATATATATATATATATATATATTTCTCATGCTTCTATAATTTTTCATCTTTAATTAATTTCTTAATTACTTGTTTCACATTATTCTAGGTATGGTTCGAACTTTTGGTATCGGTATCCGTATGTCCAGCTAGGGACCAGTATGGATCTGACACAAATCAGCATATGAAGACATGGTATATCCACCTATCGGTCAACACTGAGAAGATGAGAGGAGGAGGAGCTGAGGTATCGGACAGATGATAACCCTGAAACCCACATAGACTGAGTGAAAAAAAAAAAATTTGACAGTTAAATACCGCTCAGTACATACCAGTCCAGAAGTGATTTTGAACTATGATTCTAGATCTGGTATTCCCAACTACATCTGCCTCAGATTCTATTTGAATTGTATTTGTCATACATCCAGTTCATACTCATATCAAGTTTAAACAAAGTTGGTTGTAGAATTTAGTATCCTCTTGATACCTAAAACTATCCAATCTCTTATAGATCCATTTTCACCCCTGACTTAGTGTTTGATACATGCAAATATTGGCATATTAAGATCTTTTGTTACGTTGATGGTTCTTTTGTGACATTTCAATTATACTGTTAAAAAGGAATCAAAGCAAACTTGTAAGTAAACCAACACCTTCACACGAATAACTTACAGATATCTAATTTCTTTACTAACGTAAAAGAATTATGCAGAAACATTTCAAAATATCAAAATCAAGAACTAAACTAATTGAAAGACCATCAAAGACCAGGAAGATGAAAATCTCATGAAGGCAAGTATATAGCAAACAAGGTACAAAATTCAGATCAAATTAACTTATAATTCCAGATCTGATAATTATTCCTTACAATGCTGCTGCAAGAAAGGGTTGCAAAGGCCTTGAGATATAGACACTTCTTGGAGAAGATGTTTTGCTTGCCTTGTGAAGATGGCGACAATGACAATATTCAATGGCTGACATCACCAACAAAACAAAAGGGAGCTAGTACATAAATTATACTAATCCCACTAAAATTTATGATATCAGATCGTCAAAATAATTTTTTTAAAGAACAGAGGTCGATACCCGTCATTAATTCAAGCTTCTTATAATAGCAAGACCAAACGGTTCGAAGTAGGATGCAACAATTCAGCTACTATTCCAAGAAAAGCATTGATGAACATTAGCTCAAACTAACAAAACTAGTTCAACTTTAACATTCAGCAGAAGATAATGCAACCAAAAAAACACAAAGAGGATCCTCTAGAGAAACAGATTAAACAAAAGACACACTATCAGTGATCATTCAGGTGAGCACTCGATATATATTTATCATCAAGCATGAGAAACCAACATTTTTTAACATAGATGCATAACTCCAAAAATGAAAACAAGGAGGAGTAACATAAGACCAGCAATCACAGGACACAATGATGTAATTCTGGATAAAATAGATCTGAAAAATCACAAACAAACAGGAAATCTAAAATAGGCACAAAGGAGACGTGCCAAGTACTAAAGGGACAGTTTGACTTGCATGCAAATGTCGATAAGTCTAGATGAACGAGACAAGGGACAACTTGCATGTAACTAAGAACTAACTATTTCAATGATGAGGACATGATAATCTGATTGTAAGACAACAAGCATAGTCCTGAATCAAACAGGTGCTATGAAGACCAGATCCTCCTTTTTCCAAGAAAGCCGAACATCAAGAACATGAAATCATCACCATTATCTTAGTCGTCATGACAACATTTACGAGGCATCCAGACCGATCAAGAGTCGTTGCATCAAACGATCCGACTCACCTTCCTCACAGCCCGGCGTGCATTCACAGCTGATCTGGAGATCACCGGAGGCGAAAACCCTAAGCCGCCCGACAGCGTCGCCATACCGGTGGCTCGTGCACCCGCACATCACCTCAACAAAGTCGGCGCCTTTCTTCAACTCGGTCATCCCGATCAGCTCCTCGTCTGCAAACAAAAAGGCGGCATCTTTTCCCTGACCACCGGCCATCTCGCTCTCTCTGTCGGGGAACCTCACCAAAACCTCGTAAAGATAACTCTTTTAAGCGCTAAAACCGTGAGAAGAAGCTGAGATAAGAACCAAGATGGCCTTCAGGCGCTTTGAGACATACGAAACAAAACGAAAAGAATTACCCAAATGCAATCAATAAAAGGAGAACAAAAAGACGACTTTTAGAGGATATACAGGGGAAATCTAGGATTCTAAGAGGAGTCGACGTCGAGAAGTCAAAGGAGACGCACTAGTGACCTGTAAACCTCGTCGGAAGCAGTGGCTCACAGAAAAAGAGGCACAAAGAGTACCAAAGGCGTCACCTTTCCGACCGGAGAGTTACTGCGGCACGGCAACACGCGAGACCCTGCAAGGAACCATCGAAAGCAACAACGTCTCACATGCTCCTCCCCTGATAAACCGATGGGAAAAGGGATACGGCTCTCGCACCTCTCCTCTCAGAACAATATAGGCACATAGCTTTCCTATCGAGGGCTAAAAATCCTCTCTCTCGTCTCCGTGAACTGCTCCTCAATCCGCAGAGCCAATCCCACCATCATCTCCTTCAAAGCCTACCCAGAAAGCGATAAATCTGGAGGAGATTGAACGCGCGAGAGAGAATCGTTTCATAACAAAGAGGACCGGAGCAGGAGGCGGAGGGACACTTTTGGGAATACCGCAAGCGGCCTAATGTGAGCTGGCATCGGCATCAGTAAGCAGCAGCGCCCTGTCACTCGTGCATGACATGACATGAACAATAATATTATATTATATATATATATATATATATATGTATGTATGTATATATATATACATACATATATATATACATACATATATATATATATATATATATGTATGTATATATATATATCACATTTCATCACACATTCACAAGCGTTTGTTGGTATGCAGAAAGAACAAAGATCGAAGAAAGAAAGAAGAGGGAAATGAAATCGAAAGTAAAGCAGCTGAACAAAAAGGGTGTACTTGTTTCTCCCTCCAATTGCCTGCCGTATGTTGCTGATGCCTTTGTCCAGGTATCGTACTTGGATTTTGAGCCACAGCAGAAGGGGTTGGCTTTATTCCTTTCAAGTGCATCCCATGGCCTATTGGTGCAGCAGCAGCTCATGTTACCCCTCTCCCCCTTTGATGGTCCAAACTCTTCAACCTGTTCATCCTTTCAGTGCTGAACACTTTCCATGAACACCAATCAAAGAGGATACATATGTTTTATTTGGAACAAAGCTTCTCCTTTTTCATACAGACATCACAACACTTGGTGGAACAGTATCGTAGATTCTCTTGAAGAAAAGGTATGGTGCTAAAATGAAATGGCAACAATCATCATGAGGACACTTTCAAACTCAGCTCTGCAAAACTAGAGTGCTTGATTTCTCAATGCATGCCTTCCATGAAATGCCTTCCTTACTTCATGTAGTTCCTACTGGCCACAACTTCTCAAAGCTCACTTCTCCACTTGTCATTTCCTTACAAAGATCAACTCCTTGTTCAAGGAGTATACAGTGCTTCAATTGGTAGGATTCCCTACATCATGCACGCATGCATTGAAATCTGAACAATTAATTAGCTTATAGGTTTCTCAACTTAGCCTACTTACCCATGTGGACCAGCCAAATGTTATTGCAACGCACCAAAGTTGAACCAGAAGGTGAAGACAAGTTAGAAAAACATAGTATGCGACCACAACGCAGAAGAGTGAATGTGAGATTTTGATTGACACTTGAATTAGCAGACTAATATGGCCAGGAAGTACCAAGAACAGAACATGAAGACAGTAGTACTGTTGTCCGTACTACTGATGGAGTTCATTGCATTACGCACCAAGTTGCAAGAGTAAAATAAGTAACTGCATGCAACTGTAGGCTACATTTCAGTACGTGGCCAGCACTACAAGCTCTTAACATTCCCAAAAATGCTTTCTTGCATGCATGTCATTGAGAGAAAGGACGATGCAACTTTTAACATTGCCATGGCGAACAAGTAGAGGTTCTTGTTGGGGACAGAAATCTCCACGTCCAAAAGACAAGTACTCTTCTTTAGACAAAGGAAGAAACAATGCAATGGAACCTCCGACTTGCCATGTGAATGCCATCTCGGCGAACATGTCGAGTGAGCGAGGACATGAATCAATAGTATGATATACTTGTCAAACGCAGAGAGAAAAAGAGAAGCCTTATGAATCAATGTCATGATATAGAAATTATACTGTGGATATCCCTGCCAAATCATTCAATGGCATACATATCCCTCATAAACTTAACGTTTAGCTTATATCCAGAACTCAAATATGTTAGGGACATGCAAGAATGAAAGTTGAGCAGGTGCTGCAGAGAACGAGAGAATTGAGAGGTATGATTAGAGAACATCCTAAATGTAGCAGCAATACACAGCAATCAATAGCTTCTCCTACATACAGCAAGCATGCAGCATGCACATTTCTCTTGTTCTTGCAAACGATGGCGAGGGAGATTTAGGAGCCTGGCACGAACTTGGTGGCATAAACCCAGGCATTGTTTGTGACAGGGTTGTCGAGGTGATCCAAGAGGTTCTCCAGCGGCCCCTTCCCCGTCACGATCGCCTGCACGAAGAACCCAAACATGGAGAACATCGCCAGCCTCCCGTTCTTGATCTCCTTCACCTTGAGCTCGGCGAAGGTGACGGGGTCGTCGGCGAGGCCGAGGGGGTCGAAGTAGGTGCCGCCGGGGTACAGGTCGTTGCCCTCCCCGACTCCGGCGAGTCCGTTGATGCGGAAACCCTCCACCAAGCCCATGAGCACGACCTGGAACCCCAGCACTGCCAGTATGCTCTGGGCGTGAACGAGGTTGGGGTTGCCGAGGTAGTCGAGCCCGCCTTCCGAGAAGATCTGCGCCCCTGCTTTGAACCACACGGGCTCCTTGAAGTCCACCTTCAGCCACTTCTCCAGGACCTCCGGGGTGATGCAGCCCAGCGCCCCCAGCATCGCCCACCTGCCATGGATCACCTGAACCCACACCATGAGGAAGGTAAGTGAGATGAGAATTAATCGCCGCTTAACTGCAGTCACATCAGTAGAGCAATTGGTGGTACCTCCAGAGCTCTGTTCCTCGCAAAGGCTTCGGGGTCGGCGGAGAGCCCGGCGGTGTCCCAACCGTAGTCGCCGGGGAACTCGCCCCTGAGGTAGGACGGCGTCTGAGCTGAGAAGGGTCCCAAGTACTTGACGCGGTCTGGTCCGTACCACAGTTCATTCCCCTGGTGTGGATTTGCGCACCACAACAAAACACAGTAAGAAGATTCCTACTATTCTGCTTGAGGAAAGCAAAAGCACGCTCGCTTACCATGGTGATCCTTCCTCTTCCCATGGCGACGACATCCCTGAGAGGGTTGGCGCTTGTTGAAGTCCGGGTTTGGCCGAGGAACCGGGTCGGAGTAACAACAGTGGAGGACGCCATGTCTGCTGCTGGTAGAGCTCAAGAGCCGAGAGATGGATGGAAAGGAATGGATCCCAAGGACGGTATGTAAGGGACGGAAAGAGATAGGAGTGGTGAGCAGTTCGGACAGAAGCGTGAGGTGGAGATTTCAGGATTTTGTTCGGACCAATAAGAGATCTCACAAGGATTCGAAGCATATCCACAGCTCATATCACACAATCCAAGTGTTATCTTCTGGCCATCATAACCAGTCATCACAGATTTCTCTCTCTTATGTATGTGTTGGGCCGGTCCTAATTGATGTTGGCTTGACTCCTGCTTCGAATCTTCGAAGAATCTCTGCAAAAGATTCCACTAGGAATCTTGGATCCCCAATGCTTATTTGGTTCGAAAGATTCGTGCTTGCAGTAGTCATGCATAATATTAAAGTATAGTCGACACTTGAAAGTCAATCATGATATTAAAGTGGATGAGAGAATAAGATCACTTGCAATTGTGTTTCATGTTCATCAAGTCAACAACAGAATCAATCATTCAGCTGCAATAAGGCAACTGGAGACAACATGATCCATGTACAGATACTGAGCTGCATCATAATCTATATAGCATCACCAGCCCTTGCCTTTGAGCCAGAGCCAATAAAGGGCCACCCCAGAGAATATACCAGCTAAAAGAAAGAACACAAGCAAGTTTCCCAAGGCATTTTGCTCTGGTCCCTGCACAACCAAAACCAATTCAGTTTCCAGACAAAGAAACTTACTGTGATTATATTTGGTCATTCCTAACAGATGCTGAAACTATATTGTCAAATCTTGAAAGAAAAAGAGACACTGGACGACACAAATCTCAGGTTCACCACCCTTGGATCCTTTCGGTGCTTCAGTAAGAACACAAACCGTAAGATAACCAATGGTCAATCCTAACAGAGATGTCAGCATAATCATCCAACCTTGATCTCCATACTTCGCAGTGAAATAGAAGGATGGAATGAGTCGAAGAATTGCCGGAGTCCTTTCCTTGATGTTATCTTGATGCATTCTACAAGAGGCACATATCTCCCAAGAAGTTCGAACACATTAGACACTGCAATCAGAACCGAGCGTACCTGAATGACAGTTCTCAACAGTTACGGTGTGTCTGCATATGCTATTCCGAAGGTTAAACTTCTTTTGTATGAATGATGTTACGAGTTGGTACTAGTAATCATGATCGGATAAAAAAAAAAAATTATATATGAACAAATATAAATCATAATATATAGTAGAATTAAATAAAAATTATAATTAAATAGGATATTAAGATTTACATGAAAAACTTCTCCAACATGAAATGTAAAAATCACATGACAAATTAGATAAAATCTACTATTAATAATGAATATATAAAACACAGAATCTCTTGCTCAAAACTCAAACAACAATCACAAAAGAATAACTGAGATATAAGAATTACGTCATCATGCATAATATCCAAAATCTCTAAGTAATCACAGCAAGAATCCATTGTAAATCTGATGAGATGATAGTACTGCTTGGATGATTGAGAACAATCGTTGTCCTTATCTTCTTCCCTTTCCTTCTCTTATTTTTTTACTTTTTTCTTCTCTTTTTTGAACCATGTTATTGTAATTTTTTAGCCAAGTTCACAATCATCCCTGCCCTCTTTTTTCTACTATAGTTGCCACACCTATGAGTTAGAGTTTAGGTTAGAAAAAAGTGGGATGTGGGTTACTAAAGCCCACTGTGGGCTTAATTAATGGGCTATTTGTCCAATAATCTTCCTCTTCAACCCATAAGAGAGACTGTCTTATGACTTCTCAATGTGAAGTCATGCTGATTAGCTATCGAAATATCTCCTATCTTTCTTTTGGTAAGATCTTTGTCAATATGTTTGCTCTATTATTATCTGTATGAATTTTCTACAGTTGCAACTACTTCTATTCAAGTACATTTTGAATTTAGTGGTATATGACATCTATATGCTTTGACTTGGATTGAAAAGTTGAGTTCTTATACAAATGGATAGTGCTTTGGCTATCACAATGCATTACATAGTTTTCTTATTTCAACCCTAATTCTTGTAAGAATTTTTTTATCAATAATATTTCTTTGCAAACCTCTATAGCAACAATATATTTTACCTTTTGTGGTAGAGAGAGCAATACACTTTTTGTTAGTATAAGTGTCTTACAAGCCAATCACATAAGTAATGACACCTATGACATGGAACGATAA